TCTCTTGATTAAAACAGACTATATAAGACAAAACTTGCTATTAGTCTTAGTGGAGATAATCATTTAAAAAAATCTCCACATACGTTTAATGAAAAAGTCTGCCATTGCAATTTAGTTGTCTAAATTTGTGTGTATTTTTGTTTTTTGGTTCACTTACTTCTGATTCCAGTCCTCTTTTATGCAAGTTGATCTTATGCACTCTCTGTAAATGAATATGCAAACTGCTAGTCAATTCTCACTGCTTAGTTTCGATTATTTTAGTCCAATTTTTTACATTTTGCATCAGTACTATAACTAGACAGGTGCAACACAGATGGGACAAAACAGCCCTAATCTAATTGGTTCCTCCTCATGAAATCTTATTTTTCATAAAGTCAATATTATAAATTGAAATGTGTTCCTGAAAACATTTTAAGTAATTAAGTATCTAGTATATTGAGATGGCAAAAATAAAAAAAATTGGAACTTAATTATAGTATTTCTTCCTATCATTAAAGGAAATTTATACCAGATATATAAAAGTGGAAGGTCAAAGTAAGTACTCAAAGTAGATGGTCTACTATAAATAAACTAAACTAGATTCTTAATAGAGTAGAGTCCCATAAACTCAACTTAATTAATTAATGTGGACTGAAAAAATAATGAGTTTTACAGCATATCAATGATGCTAGTCTAAACAGCAGAATTTTCATAAAGTATTAATATGTATATGGATTTGTACATATAACTACCAATAGTGATTATTTCTATTTGTAATTAAATTTTAATTTAAAAAAAAATATTAGCTATTCAGTGACTACATTCAAGTAAGTGAAATTTGTATCATGGCATTTTGCAGTGGCACCTTAGAAAAAGGGTTTTATTCTTTAACATGAAATTGATACTATTATTAAGTATCTCCAGTGAAGAATGATAACTTATTTGATCCTAGAATGATGCTATAATAGTAAGCATTATATATATATATTTTTTTATTTTTTGAACAACACAAGTTTTACAGTGTGTCAAGTTACTAAGTGTCAAGTTTATAGGACTCTACAATAATAAATATTAAAAAAAGAACTAATCACTCTCCTCTAGAGAATATTGAATTCTTTTTATATATTATGTTTTTACTGAGCTTTCTTTTTCTAAATAAAAATAACTAAATACTTTATCAAAAGCTTTAAATTTTCAAAAATAGAACTTTTATACTTTTACATGTAGACAAACAAGCTCTAATTATTCTAACAACTAAATGATATGGCTTAATGAACAATCATAGTTTTAACCCAATAGGTAAATGATAAATTTAAAAAGTTAATCTGGTCTTAAAAAGAATGGATTTATCATGTTAATATTTAAATGAATATTTCCTACAACTTCATGAGAAAGGATCGTGTACTGTACAAACAATTAATAAAACAAGTTCTTTAATATTGTAGATAAATTTGTTTAAAATATCTACAAATGAATAATTAACAGAAACTTCAGGAAAAATACACAGTATAATCTCTGAATAGTGGACACAGTTAGGACTGAGAAGTTTGTTCTCTGAATAGTGGACACAGTTAGGACTGAGAAGTTTGTCCACTATTCAGAAGTACGTGGGTGCTTCAAAAAGTTTGTGGAAAAAGTCCGTAACTGAAAATTGTTTGGAAGGATTTTGATTTCAATGCACCTGAACATTCTTGTACCAATGTGTTATAACATGTTCAAACATAAACCTTTAAATGCAGGTAAGAATCAGTTGAAAGTCAAGCACCATTCAAGCAACATGGAATCCACCAAAATCGAGATGAGAACAAACAAAGTTCATGGTGAAACTTGGTTGGGAGAATAGGCAAATCATTGATGCTCTGAAACAAGTTTATGGTGATAATGCTCCAAAGAAGTCAACCATCTACAAATGGATAAGTCGCTGAAAGGTACCAATTTTCCATCAGTTGAAGATGTAAAAAGAGCTGCTCTGACATGGTTCAGATCATAAGACCCTCAGTTCTACTCAGACGAACTTAAAGGCTGGTATCAATGTTTGTAGAAGCATATCGACCTTAATGGAGCATATGTTGAAAAATAAACATAATAACTGAAATCGTTTTTTTTCATACTATCCTTTTTCCATGAACTTTTTGAAGCCCCCTCGTACATGCTGGTGGCTATACTGTATCTCAGCGTTTCTCGACCTCTAACGAATCATCGCCCCCTTCAATAAAACCGTTATGTAGTGCCGCCCCTCCGCTACAAAATTCTGATGCCGAGGGCCAAGACTAACACCAAATTCGTACTGCATTGAATAGAATAGTGACTAGTATGTTATTTGTTTAATTATTGTACAATAACGAATAAAATATCTAATTATTCTTAATATAATGTTTTACTATATCGCCCAGAAAATTGTTTTTCGCCCCTAAAATATAAATTGTTACTAATCGCCCCCTCAACATGGAAAAAATGTCCACNGTGTACAATAACGAATAAAATATCTAATTATTCTTAATATAATGTTTTACTATATCGCCCAGAAAATTGTTTTTCGCCCCTAAAATATAAATTGTTACTAATCGCCCCCTCAACATGGAAAAAATGTCCACATGGGGGCGATATCGCCCCCGTTGAGAAACATTGCTGTATCTTAACCTTGTCATCATATAGTGAAGAATACAAAAACATCAAATTTGCATTAGGAATGTGAATGTACCAAAAAATATACATAGCATATATAATTAAAATATACATACAGTACATTATTTTTTTCAGCTATAAAAATTTTGTTTTAATTGAATCCAGTTCAAATGTCAAGTTACGAAAACAATTTGCCTTTGTAACTTGACATTTGAACTGGATTCAATTAAACTGGATTCAACTGCTATCAACTTCAAGGAGTGGAAAATATATTCAGAATTGTTACAACCTACTTGATAACTACAAAGTAGACAAATCCCTGTATCAATTTTTATTAGTTACTTAAATCATTTATTATCTAAGTAAATAATAAAAATTGATATAGGGATTTGTCTGATTTGTAGTTATCAAGTAGGTGTAACTTTTTGAACATTTTTGCTATTTCCAGTAACTGATTTATTAACAATTACACTTTATCCACCACAAAGCTGTTAAAATGGTTACAACAACAGCATTTGTTCAGTGAAAGTTCAAAGCTCATGTTACAAAGGCAATTTTCTGACCACTTTAAAGTATGGGAAGAAATTCATTCTCTTGTATTTAAGACATCATTTATGATCTTAAATTTCTTTTTCATTACTACTATATTATGGTTCTTGTCAAATGAATGAATAACTTTGGAAAAGTTTAGTTTTTTTTTATATCATAATTCAAACAATAAGACAGAAGTTTAATAGCATTAATACGTATGATGATAAATGGTGATTGACAACTTAACCAGATTAGTCTTCTCTAACAGATAAAAAAATATTGTTCAGCTTTATACAAGCTGCTCTCCTCCCCTATTTCTAATTTTAAGCCAGTATTTATTCAACACCTATGGTCAAAATCAGTTGTCTGAAAGAGTATTTGAACTGATTCTTTTAGTTTTAAATTATTTTGAACATAATTAATTCTTTCAGACTATTGAAGGTGGAACATTTTGTAAGGTTGGTTGTGGACAACGGCATCCATTATTTACAGGTAAATATAATAGATGTCCTAAATAAGGATCTGAGGATTGTAAAAATGTCCGTTAAGTAGAGGTGTCTGCTATTTGGGAGTGTCCATTAATGGAAGTTTCTTGTATATATTTCCTATTATGAAAGAAATACAGTTTAACCTGCTTATAACATCATCCATGGGACCGGCAATTTTTTGACGTTATAACCGAGTGTCGTTATCTGCGGGGTCATAATTTCAGTCCCATAAAAGTATCAAGCCTGTTTAAGAATCTATTATAAAATTCATCTAATTTAATATCGTATGTATAAAAGTGCAAACTAAATATTTAAATCAACTTTATTTACATTATTATGTCTAAATTTACAACGATGTAATTAAAAATTTCAAAAATTTTTTATAAAAAATTTTTATTTATCAAGTTTCGATAATGGCGGCACTTTCAGTTTTGAGAATAATATCCAATCAAAAGGCAACAAAAAGTTAAATTAAGCAAGAAATGAGAAAATTATCATCCAGGTGTTATTAACGCCTGGATGATAATTTTCTTGTTTCTTGCTTATCTATCAATAGACATGAAGTCCAATATCTTTCACTTCTAGGTTAAATTAATGTGTATCAATTAAAAAGAAACAATAAAAATATTCACTTAAAAAAAGTCAGTTATTTTAGATTGTAGGCATTTTTCACCTAAAAATTGTTTATCAATGTCATTTTCTAAGTCGTAGATTTTGTTCATTATTTCCGATGAAGTTTTACGAGACCTGTAGAATTTGCTAAACCAAAGTCTCTGCATAATCTTTTTTCTTCCACTTTCAACTGCTTTAATTATTTCTACTTTGCAGTCTAATGTTAACGCTTTCCTTTTTAAGCTAGCCATTTTACCTGATTTGATGCTAAACTACAACACGAGTATGAGAGCTATGCAGACTAACCCACTGTCACGTTGTTTAAAGGGGTGGTGCATCTCACCCCATTGAATCCAGGTGGTGACAGTACCACCCACAATCGTTCTAGGAAGCGGACTCTGACCCTAGGACTGAACACAGTATTTTCTTTGATAAATAAAATTTATAATTTAATTTTGTAAATTTAAAAGTGCTTCAAATATGACGTTAAAACAGGATTTTATGTCGTTACAAGTGGGTTTTTTAACATTATCTAGTATAGTAAAATCGTGGGACCGATAAAAATTTGACGTTATATTAGGGTTGCCGTTATAATCAGGTTAAACTGTATGTATGTATAATGTAATAGATATATGAAGAGAGCAAGTTCAAATAAAGAAAAAAGCAAAGAATGTACAAAATCAGTTTCAAATGCTCATTTTGAATAAATAAAAACACCTATTTGATTACCATTATTAAGATTTAAAATTCATAAATTTATCATACCTTCAGTAGCTAATACATTCAAAAGTGGTTTTCTCATTCTGATAAGAGAGCATTTTCGAGCTGTTACTGGTGCCAAGTCAATTTCAATGTAATTTTTTACCTGTACATTTTCTTCTTTTAAACGCCAAAATAACGTATCAAAACCCGCACCAAAATTTACAACTTGACATTGATTGTTTGTGATCTGTTAAAAAATTTAATTCATTATAAATTAACATTTTATTATAATAGTAGTATTAATTTATACATAATTCAAAATGTTATTTATTGTAAAGATTGTAAATAAAAATTTCAGTCCTTCAAAAAATTTTATGATAAAAAAATTACTAAGTTTTAAATAATTGTTGAATTCAAAAATCAATAAATAATGATCAATAATAAGCCTAGATATAAAGTTGATTTAACTATAATTTAAGAGTTAATTTTTTCCTAGCAAATTACTCAAAAAAGCAGAAACTAGTAAAGTGAAAAATCATATTTTATACAAACATTATAAACAGATTTATTATTAGATCACAAAGTAAATTTTGATATATGCTACCATTTAAAAATATATATTAAAAAAACAAAAAATCTAGCAATGAATTGCTGGATTTTTTCTGTTTAAGAAACACTAAGACACATTAGCACAAAATTAAAATTGTGTGTGGTACTATCTGTTATGAGATGTTATTAAAAAAACTTTATATCATTATTTATTATAAAAAGGCAAAAAAGCTTAATTTTGAAGGTAGATATCTTTTTAAAAAATTGTACCTGTCAAGAATAAATAAAATGTTCATTAAGTCTGACACCACTCAGGCTATGATACATGACTTCCTCTATTCCCTACCCCCTTGACCCTTAATCACCATAATTTAACAGCATCAATGCCCCTCATATACAAGTTACTATGCCAAATTTCATTTTTTAACCTTTACCTCACCCTGAGATATTAAATGAAATAAATGCCAATAGACACACATGGAACTTTCTTCTTTACTTTTTTGGGTTCAGGATGTCTCAAAACATCAAGATTTGAAAAGAAAACGGAAGATCAAATTTGACATGATTACAATACTTTTCTGTGTTAAATATGTAACAGCTAGGAAAGTAAAAAAACATCAAACGCCTTGTTTTTAAGTTTCAAATTCCAAAAGTTCAGTTAAAATAAAGAAAGTCTTCTATAGGATCCTGATGATGGACTTTGAATGTGGCCAAAAGCATTTGCATTTCACATTGTCACTGCTGGAAATGTACAAAAGGTCAGTCTGTCATCATGTATTTGGTAGTTCCAGTTTTAAGAATAATTTTATAAAAATTTTATACTTTGTTCTATTCTACTTTTATACGGTGAATGTTCTTTTTATTCAAGTATATTGCAATCTTCAACTGATGAAAATCTATCAACTTGGCTGAAAATGTTTTTGTTTCATTAAAACATTTTGCTAGAGTTGATTTCAAAGGTGTGAATTTATAAAAGACGACAGCTGAATATATTATATTCAATTTACTCCAAAACCCAAATTCCAGCAAAATGTTGGGGAACTTGATGACCACATATTTCAAAACCCATGGAAATTTTTCCTTTATCATCCACAAACCACGGGTTCATACAGGAACTGTCTCCTCCAATCAGCAATTGCCCAAATTGGAAACATCTCCACCAATCAATGAACAAAACCTCATTGCATTCGAATTTCAAACATTGCAGCTCCATTTTTCATTTTCACAGCTTGATAATGTCCAATGGAATGTGGACGAAAACATTCATGTGAGTATAGAAGTTTTGCTGGAGTTTAAATTTTGAAGTGTGAATTTATTTTCTGACATTCCCTCCTGTTTCTGTATTTTGTTATATTAATCTAGTAATGAAATTTTCTATGTTTACTGCATTATTATAATATTTCAATAAAAACATGTGCATATTTTCAAATGGTTTTTCTTTACTGCAAAAATTTTTTTGTCAAAGCTTAGAAGCTATTTCATTTCTATATTTTTAATGCAAAAATATACAATATTAGAAATGTAACAAATGACTTAGCCAAATGCCAAGTAGTATAGTCAATTAATAACAGTTATTTAAGAAATATTCTTAAAATTTACATTAAATAATTCAAATAATGTTTTAATATCATAAAGTAAACAATAAAAAGTAATTAACCAAAGCCAGTAAAGATCCAACATACAGTGGTGTTATGAATTATTGAACATATACTGCAAAATGCATATTTTTGTTAAATATACTTCTAATGGATACAATAATTTAAATAATAACATGCAATTATTTATTATGATATTGTCACAATGTCTGGCTGCAATTTTTAATCATATTTTTAATTTATTTAATTTATTAAATTACATGCTCTCCACCTCAAATTAGTAGTGACTTGTCCCTATACATCATACTTTTCCTTTAACAATAGAATCATGCCAGTCATCTATTAACTGCTTTCTGGGGAAAAGTTTTGAATTGAAATAATCTGACTTGTGGTTTGCATTGGAAGTTCATATATAGTTAATTGGAGCCTCCTGCCCTTTAGATTTCCATATATGGTCTTGGATTTTGTGTATCTAACTCTGTTCTTAAGATTAAGGAAAGACAGATGACAGTGGAATTTATAGGTTTACAATTTTTCAAATTGTAGCCCAATTATGAAATGGTGAACCAGCATTGCATCATCCATATTGTACAGCATGTCATCATATGATAGAAATGAATGAGGCTTTGTGAGGGACTGTGGAACTACCAACGCAATCTTCACAACCCACAGTGGATGGAGAAACACCGAGAGAAAAATAAACCACTACGTGTCATCTTCCTTGACTTGGAAAAGGCCTTTGATTGCATACTCTACCAGCTCATTTGGTATGCACGCCACAACCACGGAGTGCCTGAGGACCTCATCAGCTGGGTCAGAATGCTGTACACAAATACCAACATCTGAGTGAGGTGCATGGCTGGTACATCTGACAACTTCACAGTGAACATTGGCTTTCATCAGGGCTCTGCACTGTCACCACTGCTATTCATTCTCATCATGGATTCTATCACAAAGAATATACAGAATGATGTGCCTTGGATGCTGCTTTATGCCGATAATATCATGCTTGCAACCACCACTCGAGAAGAGCTACAGTGTCAGGTGCAGGCCTGAGCAACTGTCTAAGTTGCTTTGGCTTGCACCTTAACACCAAGAAGACCGAATATCTAGAAATTTTTCCAAATGTGGGCATGATCCAGGTCAACAGTGATAACTTACATAAAACACACACTTTTTGCTACCTTGGCTCAACCTTACAGAGTGATGGAGATTGATGATGAGTTACGAATGAGGGTGAATGCAGCATGGCAACGATAGAAAGAAGTCACTGGTGTTCTCTGCGATAAAAATATTCCCATGTACCTAAAATCAAAAATCTATCGGACTGTGGTACAACCCATTGCTCTCTATGGTTCTGAATGTTGGCCATCAATGAAAGCAGCCAAATGGCGTCTCCATTCCATGGAGATGCACATGGTTCGCAGGATGCTTGGTGTACCCCTCCTTGACCATATCACCAATGACACAATATGCCAACAATTTGGCATCACGCCCATTGAGGCAAAAATGAGAGAGACTCTCCTGCACTGGTTTGGCCACATCCGACGATCAGCCCCAAATACAATTGCTAACATTGCCTACCACATAGAGGTGAGCAGCTGTTGGCCACACAGAAGACCAAAGCAATGATGACAAGATGCTATCAATGTAGACCTAAGGGCTCTGCATCTGAACCCAGACGATACACTCGATCAAACAAAGTGGTGTTTGAAGATCTGAATAGCAAACCCTATATCTGCGGGACAATGCTACGAAGAAGAAGATAGAAATGAACGAGGCTATAAACTGCTCATTTCTGTCAGGTATTGCTCAATATTGTTGTATGCTGTTCAAGCTTTTAAGTGTTGTGTTCACAATTAAATGTACAGTATGCCAAGATGTGATAGTTGACACCTAACAGAAGAAAACTCAAATATGACTCAAACTGTACAGAGACTAAACTATTCTTGTTTCACTGTCAGATGCAAAATTGCAAAACTTAAGATGTTTAGAAACATTGATCATTTACCCTGCATATTATTGCAAAGGGATGACAAAGTTATTTGCCGTTTGAGCCAAAAGAATTGGCAATGGAGTAGGAAACTTCATCAGAAGTGGTTGGAATCATGTGTTATTCATAAGTAGGCCATGCAAAACAAGTAGTTTTATACGTAAAGGTCAATAAGAAATTACTAAACCAAAAAAATAAAATGACAAGATTGGCCTAAGCAAAAAAGCATCACAATTGGACAACAGCACAGTGGCAACATGCCAATTTTCAGATGAGAGCCATTTCTGATTATCCAGTGTTTGCCTGGCCCAATAGTATACAACAAAGTAGGCAAAAGATGCTACTCAGAAGGCCTTATGACATCTAAAAAGTATGCTTTTTCAATAATTAACTGAGGGGCAATCATCTACAACAACATTAAAAAACTATTTTGTGGCTGGTATAATAAATTCAAATCAGCATAAAATTACTGTTAGACATCATGTCATCAATACAGTCAGAGAGACAATTGGATTGGAGCAATATGTTTTCCTACAAATGTTTAGTATTATCACACATACTGTTAAGTGTACAGTACATTTCTGATTTAATGATGTTCAATAACTTTAAAATATATAACAAATACGTACTGGAAGTAGAATAAGTTGAAAAATAAACTACACCGATATAAATCCAGCAAAATTTAATAAAAAAAATTTTTTCAATCATTTTTCAATGATCATCTTAAGTTACCAAAATAGAAAATTAAATATAGAACATAAAATGCATTCGAAATAAATACAAAAAATAAAAATTAATGGAAAGCACCCTAGTGGACGCATTAATGAAAAATTAACAAATAAACCAAATAAATAGTGAAAATTAATAATTGTAAAAGGACATCCATGCAGCAGACAATGAGTTGGTGTCTCTATGGTTTATACAACTGGTTTTCATGTACGCTTTATAGATTTCCAATCTCTCTAGATGTTTGATCGTTTGCCTATTAGTCATTGTTTTTATAATTGCCGCTTGATCTCATTGCACGTTAATATCTTGTTACTTTGCGTATGATGCCAACACAGTGTTATCAAGGTTCCTATTGATTGTATATTTGTGTTCCTTGAGCCT